GATAGTTAAGGCCATGAGAACAAGTTTAAATGAAACGAGCATTCTTGTGTAGGCGTTTCAACTGGGGTTCGCTGTATTCAGCGGCATAATCTCAATGTTACGGTTGTTATTTCTAAGGTTGATGTTTTCATTAGCTGTGTGAGTGTGCAGTTGATTTCAGCTGTGTCAGAAGCTCGCGTTTATCGCTCCTAATGGCTTCTATACATATAAGAATGTAATATCAATGACAGTCATTCGAAGTATTTCCGCAGGGTGTATGCTTCCCCTGCTGGACTGCCACTCAATACTATTAGAGATTCATAATTTCTGATCCGCTTGAATATGTGCTCACGCTGAGTAATGTGAGCATATGAGCATGAGAAATTAGGGTGATATGACATGTGTTGATTAAACATGATCAACTGGCGGAGATCAAGCTATGTTAATTTAAAAAAAATAAATCACTTCGGTGTTGACTGGAAGGTTATGACTGAGCGCTCAAATGGACACAAGGGATTTAAATATAGTCCAATTATTCTAAGCAAGTACAAGCAGTGCTTTAAAAATAAAAACATTTAAAAAAAAATTAAATGTTTTTTTCTTATGTTAAGCTCCATTTCAGTCTGTATTTAATTATATTTATATTATTTATATTTAACCATTTTAAATCACACTGAATGAAGGGTCTAAAACAAAAGAACCATAACACCTATCTGAGTTCTTTGTTCAAGAACAAGGCAAATTTAATTGGTTTTGCTTTAAAGCTATTAGGGTATTGGGAGTTTGCTTGCTTGTTAGGGCTTATCTAGTGTTCAGTATCATGTTTGTCGCTAGACTTGCTTGTTGCTGTAAGCTATTGGTTGTTACTGCAAGTGCTGGTACTTAGTTAAAATTGCAACAGCAAGAAGCTAATGTTTACGTTGTTGTTTAGGCCATCCGATTGTTGTTGAAATATGCTTGCTGCTTATGGCTCATCTAGTATCGGGAATGTTATTTCCTTAAGTTCCTGACCACTGCAACATGCTGTGATTTAAGCAAGCAACATGCTTGTTGCAAAGCTATTTAGTGTATTGGCAAGGATTTTTGTCTATGCTCACATGGGTTGTCAGATTGAGGACACGTAACACAACAAGCACAAATGTCAATGGGAGACGGCCAACCTAGAAACTGATGAGTTGATTTGAGTTATTATATGCTGTTGTTATAGACTTTTTAAATGGATGCTGAAGCTTTTAGGCCAGGTAGAATCTGCGATCTCTGATCCGTTAATTGCTCGCTTCTATGGCTGCAGTACGCTATGTTTGCTACAAACTAGGCTGCCAATTCTAGTGGGTTTTCTGCATCTTTTTCAG